TGAAACCACAGAGTGGTTTCATGCAATATTTTTAAAGTATAAGGGGGTACCATGCAATTTTTAAAGTAGATGAGGAATTTACGCTGAGTTTCGAAATCACAATAGAATTATGGACAATTTTGCCTATATTATATTATATAAATGTCATTATTTTTATATTACACTATACTAATAGGGATATTTTTATCTTTTTTTTTTTATTATAATCAAATATAATACTAATATTAAAAAATTTACGTGCAAAAAATAAATGCCATTCTTTCAACGGCACGGAGGGAGTATCATTTTCACCTCTTTATGTATTGATGATTTTGATTATTGGAATTTGAAATATTTGTCTTTCCCTTCATTGGCTGGTTTACTCTCTTGCAGTCTGCCCTAACCAATTCTCAAATTGCCTTTATCCCAAAATTTAATTTAATTTAATTTAATTTAATAGAAATAAATAAATAAATAAATCTGAATTGGGTCAACAGAACAGAAGTGCATGTGAAGTTGGTGTGTTTTACCTATTTGGCATTGTACGTGTCAGTGAATCCCTTCCCTTGAGATATGTACTAATTAATAGTAATATTTACTTTGCTCTCATATTTTATTTATTTTATATATTTATATATTATTTATTTATTTATTTATTTATTTTGTCTGATGGTACTATCTATGGATTTCTTGGGCAAGTGGGAATTATTTCCTAAAACTTGATACAAGTAGTAGTAGTAGTAGTAGTAGAGAGGACCCTAGTTTTAACAGTATTTATTTATTTTTATCTTATCTGGAAATTTTGATTAAAATAAATAAAAACAAGATCGGAAAATCTGACTGCTCTGTTTTCTGTTATTCTGCCCACATGATATTATTATTGTGGTTGGAAAAATATACTCTACGTTGTAGGTGGAATTATTTATTAATTTTTATTATTATTATTATTTGAAACAAATATTGAAAATAGTATTTTTTTTAATTAAAAATTAGTATAATTTTATTTTAAAAAACCTTTGGTCGTGTTTATTCAATTTTTTTTTTTTTAAATATCAAATTAAACAATTTTTTTATATTACAATACAAATTTATTATATATTCAAAACATCATATCAACGTCTATTTATATACTTCAAACAATTATTTAAATTCAATTTTTTACTAAACAGACCCTGTGTTTTGTATTTAATACTATTATTTACATCATTATATGCTTTAATTTAATCATCCGGCTAGGTTTTTGTGTCATTTAGTATTTCATTCTTATATAAATATGATTTTAAAAAAAATCTTTAAAAATGCGATATATATACACATATAATAATAAAAATATACAAAATATTATTTCGTATATATAATCTGGTGGGATGTGTCAAATTAAATTGATCTTTTTAGGACGTTCTATCCTCACTTGCAACAAATGTAGTTCATTTTGAAATTACTTTGGAACAAGTATGTACAACTGTTAGGCCCCTCTTAGTCCAATCAGCGACTATGGGCCGTAGCAAGTTGACTTTGATATCAACTGTAACACTCCGACCCGTAAATTATGATGGCTAGGCATATCAGAATTAGACTAACTTAACAAGTTAATACAAATTCTTTCAACGCATTTTGTCCTCATTCAGACTTATTATGAGAAGTCACTAATTCTGAAATTACTCTAAGTAAATATTCGTCATTTTAGAATTTCTTAAAACTGATTCCCATAAATGAACATGTATATTATTGACATAAATAATTTATTCAATCAATTTAATCTCCATTCAACACCGGGTATCATGATTTACTTCATTAGTATTTATTTATTTATTTATTTTTATGTAGTCTTATGATTCCAGTACAATATTTCATATACTTAGAGTATAAAATCAACTTATTATATAAATACAAAACGTATATACTCTTTCCGTCTCATACCTAAATATTTATTTTTCTTTTTGTACGTAGTTTTAGAAATATTAGTATTATATTTTGATGCAGTAGGAATAAAGTAAAAATAGCTAAAATAACCTTGTTAGTACGTGTGATACAAAGGTAATGACATTCGTGTAATATATTATAAGTTGTAAGAGTATTTGTAATGTTAGGTAAATAGTACAGTTACTAAAAAAAATGGATACTTTATTATAGGACGGACTAGAATAAAAAAATAAATAGTTTGATATGGGAGAGATTATTATTTAGCATTGAGTGTAGAAAATCAATTAAAAAGATGTTGCATTTATTTATTTTGCTTAAAAAAGATGGGATCTGGGTGATGAAATTACAGTTTCTACTCTCTAGCTGGCATCATTTAATTTGTGGACACATTTTAATTTAATGTATGAACAACATTATTTTATTATTATTATTATTATTATTATTATTATTATTGATAATGTAGGAACTGTGTTTCTTTTAACAAAATTTTTAAATTTTACCATTTGAATTTTATATTTTTGAAAAAAAATAATTATTCTCGTAAATATTATATCAATTATTTTAATTCATAACTCAAATTAAATATTTTCAAATCAAATCTAAAAAAACTTATAATTCATGTTTGTTGGAGAAACTAGACTAAACAAACACCTAAAAATATATTATCTCTATTTTGTATGTATTTACTTTCTCCATATCTGATGATTATGCCACATTGTATAGGCACATATACTCAATAACAACAACAATAATAATAATAATAATAATAATAATATAATAATAATAATAATAATAATAATAATGTGAAAATGGATTGATCAAAATTAAAATGAGAGTATTGCTGAAAATTTATTAAATAATTGGTAAAATAATGATGTGATAAGTAAAAAAAAAAAAAAGAAAAAAAGAATAATAATAAAAAATTGGTTATTATTTGTTAAAATATGTATAATAAAATTATGAATGAATAAAATTATTATTATAAATGTATTATACATAAGTTTAGTGACAAAAAAAGATCTGACATAAATATAATGGATGAATTAAATATTTATTTACTTTTTGCATATAATTTTTTAAGTATTATTATTATTTTTTTATATGCATATAATACAAAAAATATACTCCTTCCGTCCAAATAGAATAGTCTTGTTTACCATTTTTATCCGTTTCAAAATAATAGTCTTATTTTCATGAATAACTATATCACCGTAAAATTATCAATATTTTTTTTATTTTTATTACACAATTACCATTACTTTTTACACTAATACATTCACAAAGGCAAAAAAGTTTTTTATCCATACATTTTACCAACTATCAATATAATATCAATATTCCTTAAATCTCGTGCCAAACCCAATTAAAACTATATTTTTGGGACGAAGAAAGTATATAAATAATCATATTTACTTATAAAAAATGGTTTGTTCTTTTAATATTTCAAATCAAAATCAACCCTCATCGCATTGTCCAGTTCAATAAATACATACTATTTTAAATTTTAAGTCATATTATTCACCCCGGCATAATTCTTCCGTCCCAAATTAAAAGGTCATTTGGAGTTTTATAGTAGATTAAGAAATAATAATATTTTATTAGTTAGTGGAAATATATTTGTAATTTAAGTAAAAAGTAATGATATTTTAATATTACTGATTATTTTCTTTTCTAAAATATAAAAAAAATACTTTGAAGTGAAACAGACAAAAATGATCAAAAAAGTATTTGAATTAAAACGGACGAAATACGTTTTTTTTGTATAATACATTACGTCAAAATATTATTTAAACAAAAATTCAAATTAACATCATATTTCAAATTAATTACAAATCACAATCAAACAATCTTCGAATAATAATTATATGATTTTTTCTTTGGTTGATGAAGCCATTTAGATAAATTAATTTTTGCTTAAATACAAATTTACAAACCCTTTTATATTATAAACTTTATATTCACGCAAAAAGAATGATTTCAACGCAAGAGTTTAATTATGTACATAAATTGAAGTATATTTATGAAGTTGGCTTCATTATTATTATTATTATTATTATTATTCTTATTTGGGTATATAATTTTATTTATGCATTAAGAAGTACGAAGACTCCTCATTCCAGGGACGCCAAATAGATCAACACCATTGGTGGATCCGGTCCACAGATTCAACGGACAGGATTCATGCGGCGCCGGAGTCCGGGTCCCGCTGTCATCACAGGCAACTCGACTGTCAAAGTTATTAAAATATCTAACAATAATTAATACTCTTAAATTGATATATAGCACATAAAGTATAGATAAGTCCCACAAAATGTATATTAATACCATAATATAAATATAGTCTATGTCCTATATAAATATACCCATTTTTTATTTTTTATTTTTTACATATAAACTAAAAATAATGACAATAATCTATTACCATATATATATATATTTGTATTTTCTTCGTCACACTTAATTTATTCATTTTTTTTTTATTTTCGTACTTTACATAATTTGACATTTTAAATTTTTAAAAATATAATACTTCTTCCCTCCCATAAAGAAATATCCATTTGTTTTTTGCACGTATTTTTAGAAATATTAGTATTATATTGAGATATAATAAAAATAAAATAGAAATGACTAAAATAACATTGTTATTATGTTTGATATAAAAATAATGACATTTGTGTAATATATTGTAAATTGTAAGGGTATTTGTAACGTTAGGTAGATAGTACAGTCACTAAAAAAGAAAATAAATACTTAATTATGAGACATGCTAAAATGAAAAAATAGATAGGGATAGAGGAATATATATTTTAATCACATTTTAAAATTTATAATTTATAATTTTTTTATTTTAATTAAATTATTTAGACATTTTAATTTTAATCTATAATATCTTTTATTAATATATTTTTTAATTACTTGCTAATTATCAATACCTAAAATTCCATACTTAACTTAAAGTGAACAAATTTAAGCGGGACATGAAATATTAATTAAATGTTAGCGCAATGCTCAATCTGACTAATAAAATAATTAACAACGTTATAAAAAAAAATAAAAAAATAACACCACCATGTGTATATATAAAATCGCTGCGACAACTAAAAGCGTGTTTTCAATTGACGTCGTTCTCTTCACCTTCCTCCCTCATTCCCTCCGCCGAACATTTCTCCGACTTGCAGACGCTCACACTTCCGCTCTCCCCAATTTGTCTCTCTACTCCTAAATTTCCTATTTCGCTCGCATTTTCGGTGGAGATGGAGCGGAAGCAGAGTTTCTTCTCGTCTCTGAAGGAGGAAGTAGTGCGAGGCCTTTCGCCGGCGCGTTCGCGCCGGAACCGGAGCGAGTCGCCGTCGGGAACGGGGCTGATGCGGCGGCGAGGCAGAAGCAACACCAGTAGCAGCAGCAGCAGCAGCTCCGGCACGGCGGTAATGTCGGTATCGAGATCGGGAATTGAGACTCTGCCGCCTCTCAGAGAGGGTCCGGATCCGAACGGGTCGGATTCGGGCGACCCGAGAACAGACGGGTGGGTCCATTGGCTTTACCGCTCTCCTCTCTCGACTTCCCCGCCGTCTTATTCCAGGTCCGATCTGAGGCTCCTCCTCGGCGTCCTCGGTGCGCCGCTGGCGCCGGTGCACGTTAGCAACGGCGAGCCTTTGCCCCACCTTTGTATAAAGGACACCCCCATTGTTAGTCTCGTCTTCCTTTTTTTACTGCTGTTAAAATTTTTCATCTTAATCATGATTTTTTTTTCCCCTTTTCGTGTTCTGGAGGTTAATTTTTAATGTCAGTTGAGATTCCATTGAAAAGTGATCGATCACTCCATTTACCGAACTTCAATCTTGATTTCTGTGTAGATTCGTTACTGTTAATTACAGATGATTCAACTGTGTTTGATTGCAGGAGAATTCCTCTGCTCATTATATATTGCAGCAATATTTAGCAGCATCTGGAGGGCAGAAGCTTCAAAGCACAATTCAAAATGCTTATGCAATGGGGAATGTCAAAATGTTAGCTTACCATGTTGAGACTGCGTCGTCGTCGTCGAAGGTGATCAAGAAGAAGAACGCCTCGAAAACAGCCGAATTGGGGAGCTTCGTGCTGTGGCAAATGAATCCCGACATGTGGTACGTCGAGCTTGCTCTCGGCGACAGCAAAATCCACGCCGGCTGCAACGGGAGGCTCGTCTGGCGGCACACTCCGTGGCTCGGCGCACACGCCGCTAAAGGACCTGTTCGACCTCTGCGTCGCACTCTTCAGGTCGAACAAACATCGATCATATTTCTTAGAATTCGGTATCGGGTTTATCTACGATTTGTTAACACTGATGAACTTTTCTGTAATCAATCAGGGACTTGATCCGCGAACGACGGCGAACATGTTTGCGAATGCCAGATCCACCGGAGAGAAAAAAATCGACGGCGTGGATTGCTTCGTGCTGAAGCTCTGTGCCGATCCCCACACTCTGAAAGCTCGAAGCGAAGGTCCTGCGGAGATCATTAGGCATGTTCTTTTCGGGTACTTCAGCCAGAAGACGGGCCTTCTTGTTCTGCTTGAGGATAGCCATTTAACTCGGATACAAACCAATGGAGGGGACGCGGTGTACTGGGAGACGACGATAAATTCATATCTCGATGACTACAGGCCGGTCGAAGGGATAATGATCGCGCATTCGGGGCGATCGGGTGTCACGCTTTTCAGATTCGGCGAAACTGCGATGAGCCACACCAAGACGAGAATGGAGGAAGCGTGGACTATCGAGGAAGTCGCGTTCAACGTCCCCGGGCTTTCGATTGACTGTTTCATTCCTCCGGCCGAGCTCCGATTCAGCTCTGTCAGTGTGTGATGATGCAGGGTTGGAACAACATTTTCGATGATGTTGTGGAGAATGAAATTGTAAAGAAATGAGTCTTAAGTAATTCTCTCAATCTGTGTATATATTGTGTTGATGCAAGTTCGGTTGAGCTTTAGCTAATATGTGTTTGAAATCCATTCCCTGTTCATGTAAAAATTCCTGCTTTTTGTACTGCTGCATTATTTCGATTTAATGATGATTGGCAATGGCTATGGAAGCTTCAATTGAATAATAGTGATGTTAATGTGTAAAGTTCCGCCATCATTGCAGAGCTTCTTAGCTGTAATAATTGGCCTCTCATCATCATTTTACAGGTTTGACACTGAGCAATCAATGGCTGCGGAAAAGAGGATTAATGGCGGGGAATTGAAAACAGGAAGATTCTAGAAATATTTGTATTATTATATATATTCTTTGTTGAAAGGCCCAAATTTCTGCTCAATTAGGGTTTGGGCCCTTCAGATACTTTTTTTCACCAAAGGTTCATTTATTTATATACAATTTTTAAATCGACGCAGGGATTTCGAAGAACCAGAGGATTCGATGGTGCTAACAAATTTCAATGGCGCGGGTGTTGGTTTCGGTGAGTGTTGAATTTTTCTTAGAATCGGAAATTGAATGCAATGTCTTCATATTTGCGCGGATAATCTTCTGCCTCTCCGCCAGATTTTTTGTTTCGAATTGTTCTTACTGAATGAGTTTGATCGTCTCTAGGTTTCGGAATCGGCTGTGGATTTGGAATCGGGTGGGGCTTCGGAGGTCAGTTTCCGCCATTAATTTATTCCTTCGCAAGCAATTCCTGCAAATTAACAAATTCTCGATTCACCAATTTGTGCGAAGAAGATTAGTACATTTTGAATTTCGTTTCGGAGCAGCTGTTGGTCGTTGCAGAATCCAAAATTATTCGATGAACTGATTTTGATATGAACACCGATGAATCTAATCGATTTTCTGTAATCTGCAAAACACATCAGTACTGATAAACCCTAAGAAGCCCAAACTGATTACATTTTCAGCTTCCAATTCATTGTTCTACACAACTGAGCTGCATTTCTTCCTAACATATAGCAATTGAGTTTTCAGGTATGCCATTGAACACCTTCGGCCTCGGAGCAGGTAATATTTTGTCGAAATGGTTCCTGTGATCTACGCTGAATTTAATTTTCAGACTAATCTATATTTTCCATTCGATTCCAAGGTGGTGGCTGTGGTGTTGGTTTGGGGATCGGATGGGGATTTGGGTCAGCTTTCGGTAGTCAGTACCATAGCTCCTCATTAACATTCCAAGGAGTCGAATTCGAGAACAAAAACAGTGAAGGGAAAGAATCGAAAAACTTGTTAAAGAACTCTGAGAAATTAAGTAAATGATCTCATAGAACACTTAGCCTTACTCTTAAGAACTTGGGGAAACATGAAAAGTATATCGAGAATTTAGCTTTGTTCGATTGTCATTTAGTCGCATTTTCATTTTACTATTGTTTCAAGAACAAGAGAACCATTTTTGTGCTGCTTTTAATATGTGCTAGAAGTTCGTCGCCATAGAGTAACATGGTTAGTTTTAAATATTGGATATTAGTTTGATGCAGCCGTATTTTGTTAAGAATCCAGTTCTTGATGTAGCTGGCGACTCATTTTGTACATTTCATTGAGGTAAGATCATCAAGTTATCGCGCATTTACAAGGCTAGCTGAAAGAGCCGTAGGCGTTTGGTTGGGTTGAGCGCCGGTAAGTTATCCTTTTTTTCCTTCATTGTTTATATAGTACCTGAATAATGTGCTCTTGATGGGTTGTGTAGTTTAAGGTTTTAATCGGAATACTTGAATTTGGTTGGAGTTTTAATAAAATTGATTAGAACATTCATGTCAATAGGATGGCTTTTTTTTTTTTTTGGGGGGGGGGGGGGGGTGGGGGTGGGGGGGGGCTAGCTCACATGTAGAACGGTTAAACGAGTCGGGCGAGCTTGAATATTGATTATTCGAGCTTGACACAAACTTGTTAACGGTATTGGCTCGGCTCCACTTGTTAAAAATTAGAGCCAAAATAGTAGCTTGAGTCGGCTCGGCTCGGCTCGTTAGGTTTAAATTCAAGTTCAAGCTTGGCTTGTAAGGTTTGAATTGGAGCGCTAGAGCTCGAGTTTGGCTTGAGTTCTATACATATTTTATATATTTATATATATATATATTTAATTTTATTCATAATTTATTGTAATAAAATATTTCAAATTTATTAATAAAAAAAATTTTTACAAAAAATTGTACTCCCTCGGAAAAAATTATATCCATTTTCTGAGCACGAGTTTTAAGAAATATGGATAAAAATATAATTTTTCCTTTTATAATGAAAAAGTAAAAAAAAAAAGAAAATTACTAAAATTGAAAATATAAATAAGTTTAGATTAAAAAAAAAAAAGGAAAATGAGATGATAGAGGAAATATATATTATATTTAATATATAAATATATTATCACTAACAAGCTCAATCGAACTATCCGCGAGTGGAGTCGAACTGGCAATGAGCCGAGGTAAGTTTGACAAAGTTCCATAAGGTCCCTTTCGGTTTGAGGATTTGAGGTAATTTATGGATTTCAAATACATTATTTTAAATATTGTTTGTATTATTATGCCATTTTGCAACCAATTGATAAAATTTAATTATGAAGGATTTAAATATAATTATGCACTTTAATCGTATTTTAAATTTTAAATTTTATAATTTTTTTAATTTTAATTAAATTATTTACTTATTTTAATCTTAATCTATAATTATTTTTACTAATATATTTCTTAATTAATTACTAATTATATTTTACTAAAATTTTCGTGTCTATGGTAATACACCCATATTACATTACATGAAAAGGAGGGAGTAAAATTTACCGTCAAATTCAAATCCGTCAAACCAGGGGCCTAAAAGAATTTGTGTTTATTTGTTGAAACCGAGCCACTGTTGTGCACTCTACTTACGAGGGAATTAGCCCGGAGAATGAGAATGATTTTTTGTTCGATAAAACATTAAAATGTAAAAGAAATTAAATGATTATTTATTAATATATATATGCATAAATTAATAATATAAAAATATATTAATCAATAAAAAAATACAAAACAATGACCTAAAGGAGTCACGATCGTTAGTTTACCCCCACACCACTAGGTCATTTTTTACGGGACATGATTGTACCATATAAAATTCTTGTGTATTAAAATTTTCTTTAGAAACAAAATACAAAATAAACAAATCCAAAACCTGTTATCAAAATAAACAATCAAAAATCGAATATAAATTTTATTAAAATTGAAAAACAATTTTGACAGACAATAACTCCAAATAGGAGCATGAATATATTTTAAGTTGAACAAAGTAAAAAAAAAAAAAAAAAAAGACTTTGGTTACCATATTATAATTTCTCGTTTTCCAAATTTATAACTATTTCCTTTTAGTATGTCAAATTTATACCAATTTTTTTTTTGTAAAATACAGAAAAAATGACTATAAATTTGATAGGCCGGAGAAAATAATAGATATGAACAAACTTAAACTAAACAGAATGTTTTTATTCAAAAAATATTTTATATTTTATTTATTATTTTTAATATATTAATTATAGATATATACCCGGTTATATGGGCGTGTTTCTTCAAAGCTAGGGTGGCTAAACTTACCGTGTATTTACTTTGCACAGTAAATTTACGGCCCTTGTACTCTCTTAGGGTGTGTTTGTTTGAGGGATTTATTTGGATTTCTACTGTTGATCCTATTTTTTTTTTAAAAAATATCAAATCAAATACTTATTTTTTATTTTTTATATTATACTAAAAATCAATTTTACATTCAAAACATCACATCAATACCTGTTTATATCATATCATACAACTATTCAAATTCAAAATTTTTACTATTTTAATTTCAACTCAAAATTCAAATTCTCAAACAAACACACCCCGACGCTTGCTGCACAGCTGCGGCTTTTGACTTTTATTTTTATTTTTTATATATATAAATTGAGAATTATGAAACTATTTTCCGGCGTGCATATACTCGTGTAAAACAATTCTTTAATAATTATAATAATTATTATTTAATAAAATATATACAATATACTCTTTTTATCCTACTCTAAATGTATAATTTATGTTTTTAGTCATTGTACATATTTAAAATATTCTTATTTGTATTATTTTTTGCATAAATATCATTATAATAGTAATATAAAATACTAATAGAAGTATTTTGTCATTTTTTTTTAATTTGTACTACGTTTTCATATAAAATTAATACTTAAATATTAACGCGCAAAAAGTAAATGAGACAATTAGAGATAGTATGTGTTATTTTATAAAGAATACAATTTTCTATAATACGAATAAATAAAAATATAAAAATATTTATGTAGATATAAATTTAATCCATATTCATATTATTATATTTATTATCCATAGAAAATTAATAAAAGTAAAAAAACTCTCCAAATCTAAACTAAACATGCCTATAGGTGTGTTTGTTTGGAGGATTTGTAAGGATTTTAACTATTTATTTTAAACAATAAATCAAATACTTATTTTTTATTTTTTATATTATATTATATTAAAATTTATTTTTATATTAAAAAATATCACATCAATATCTATTTATATTATCGTACAATTATTTTAATTTAAATTTTTTACTATTTAAATTTCAACTCAAAATCTAAATCCAGAGAACAACTTAAACCCGCCCTAAAATTCGTATCAAATCAAATCCAAATTCAAACCAAAATTCTCCTTAACCACCCATAAAAACACACCCGTAGATATCAATATTGCAATTTAATAGGAGAAATTTCATATAAATAAAACTAAATAAAAGTAATACTACCAAACCATAGAACGTTTACAGAGTGTTTGTTCCGGGGATTGGATTTAGAATATATTTATTTATCCCAAAAATATAGATTAAATATTTTTTTTATATTATACTAAAAATTAATTTTATATTTAAAATATTAAATCAAACACTTATTTATATTACATCGTACAACTATTCAAATTCAAAATTTTTAGTATTCAAATCCCGAATCAAAGTACAAACTCCAAACAAACACACCCAAGGTGAATGAGGTAAGCAATAGTATTATGTTAACGGGTGGCTCTGACGCGCCAAATCTGCGCGTGATATATTTACCATTTTCTAGATTCTTCCATTCGTCTTCTTCACCTCTCCAGAATCCATCGACGCACAGTCCAGTCCTCCTTCATTCGCAATTATACACAGGCCAAAATCACCTCTCCAATCCAGCAACCACACAGCGAATTTGATCGCTGCTAAGGAAGAGCTTCACATCAACTTTTCAGGAGACTAAGTTTTTCCGCCATGGGAGGAGGCAACGCGCAGAAGTCGAAAATGGCGAGGGAGAAGCACATGGAGAAGAGTAAATCCGCCAAAGGTGAGCCGTAAGCGAACTTGAACTCGATTTTTTATTATTTTTTTGAAGGTTAGCGATGGAGATCGGATTGGTATGTTTTGAATTATGAAGGAATCGGAATCGGCATCGGAATTGGATCTGATTGAACAAACCTTCGGTTGTGTTTATGTAGGTAGTCAATTGGAAATCAACAAGAAGGCGATGAACATCCAGGTTCTAATTTTTACTCCTCTTCTTTAGTGTTCTTCGTTTATTTTGCATTCGATTCGTGAGGATTCTGAGGAGAAATTGAATTGGAATGCATTGCAGTGCAAAGTGTGTATGCAGACGTTCATATGCACAACATCGGAGGTGAAATGCAAGGAGCATGCTGAGGCGAGGCATCCCAAGGCTGATCTCTACATCTGTTTTCCTCATCTCAAAAAGTAACAAATTTTTTGATTCTGCCATTGCATTCTTCTCTCCTCTGCTCTTGCTGTGAATTATGATGATGATTGTTCCATCTAGAGTCTGTAGTTGAATTCGATTATCAGTTGAAGGTTGGGTTCAATCTGGCCATTCAAGCTGTGTGCTTTACAATCTCCATTGAAACCTTCAGTACTCTCTCTCTCTGTATCAAACGAAATTATATGTTGTGGCTTATGGTAGGGGTGTCAAAAGTAAACCCAACCAGAAAAATCGAATCTGTTCGATCCGAAATTTTTCAGGTTCGGACTTGGGTATTTCAGGTTTGAAAAAAATTGGATCGATCCGAACTTGAAAAAAATTTGTGTCATGTTTCGGGTTGACCTGATAACCTGAAATATCAAAATCAGGTTAGATTTTGGGTTTTGTGTTCGGGGTTGACCTGAAATTTTTATTATTATTATTTTAATTTATAATATTTACATTATTTTAAATATAAAATAATATAAAAATTAAAATAAAAATGATATTTTTTAGGTCAATTTATTTTTTTTTAAATTTTCGGGTTTGTTTCGTGTCGGATTCGTATCGGGTTTGTTCGGGTTTCGTGTGACCTTAAACTAATTTAGGTCAATTTGAACCCGACCGCAAAGAATTCGTGTCGTGTTCAGGTCTAGGATTTCAGGTCAGATTTTGGGTTCGGATCAGATTCAGGTTGACAGTCTTTTTGTTATCCTCGTGGCTCAACTCGACACGAACACTACCCAAAAACACGAATTGAAATGGATTAGGCGGGTAAAACATCCAAATATTTATAGAATTTTTAAAAATCATAATTATATATTTTTTAAATTTTAAATTTTTAAACTAAATTTAAAAGTATAATTTAAAAAATAAAAGGTAATTTTAATTTATACTAATACTTTCTAATTTGAGCAAAAATAAAAAAGTCTAATTCAATATCATAATTATCAATTTTGGTCTCATTCCAAAAAATTTATCAATTTTGATTTTACTCAAATAAAAATTTATCAATTTTAGTTCCAAGATGGTTGATTGGGATTGAACACAGCAATGTTGGATGACTCAGAAAGTGACTGGGCGTCCCAGGCAGCCAATACGGCCGTGTTGATTACTCCGCACTTCTGAACACGGCCGTGTTTCTGCCCTTGTTTTGAACATAATCATGTTCTAAGCCATGTTCGTGCCCATATTCTCAACACAACCATGTTCAAGGCCATGTCCACGATCATGTTTTCAATATAATCATATTGTAGGTCATATTTATTATTATTTTTATTTTTTGGTTAAAATTATTTGATATATATTTATAATTAAAATAATATTTTTTACAATTATTTCATAATCAATTTTTAATATTTTAAAAATATATAAAAACAATAATATATTAATATATATTTTTAATAATACTCCCTCCGTTCCACTTATCATGTCCACATTGCCGTTTATGTTCGTTCCACATCCCATATTATTTTTCTTTTTTGAAAAATATTTTTTAATTTAGTTCTTTTAATTTTAATTAAACTATTGTGTTATCTTAATTTTAATTTATAATTATTTATATTATATGATAAATTATTTTTATTAATATATTCTTAATTATTTACTAATTATATTTATTCTAAATTATGGTGTCTATAGTGAGTAAGACATTCAAGATGGAGTATTATTTTAAAATATTATTTTGAATAATAAATTTAATTTATAATTTATAAAAATAATTAATTTAAAATAATATTTTTAAATTTTTATTATAAATTTTAAAAAAATATATAATGATGATTATTAAAAATATATATTAATATATTATTATTTTTATATTTTTTAAAAATATTAAAATTTTTAATTATTTTTTATATTATGAAATAATTGTAAAAAATAATTTTGTTGAATTATAAAAATATATCAAATAATTTTAACAAAAAAAAGAAAATAATAATAAATATGACCTACAATATGATTATATTGAAAACATGGTCGTGATCGTAACCTAGAACATGGCTGTGTTGAGAACATGTCTGTGTTCAGAATACGGACAGGAATACGGCCGTGTTCAGAAGTGCAGGGTAACCAACACAACCATGTTGGCTGCCTGGGACGCTCAGTCACTTTCTGAGTCATCCAACCCGGTCGTGTTCAGTCCAAATCAACAATTTTGAGACTAAAATTGATAAATTTTCATTTGAGCGGGACCAAAATTATAATTATTTTTGAATGAGACCAAAATTGATAATTATAATATTGAATGAGATAAAAATAATTTTTATTTTTATAATTTATAATTTAAAATATATATTTAATTTAAAATAATTGAAATAGTTAAAAATTAATTATACCAATTTGAAAATATTGAAATACAGTTTGAGGTCATCGTAAATCCCATTATGTATACTTTAGCGTTTTTGTCAATTTTTAACTATGGACCAAAAATGATTTAAATTATTTATAATAAAATTAAAATTAATAAATTTTTTATATTAAAACTAAAATTGAATATATTTTAGTTTTATTTGGACTACTATCGAATTTTTATTTATTTATTTTTTCTAATTATATCAACTATTAGATCAAAATAAAAAATTACTGTTTCGTACAATTAAACACGATAGTATTATACTCCTTGTGTCTTAAGTAATTTGTTTATATTTTTTATTTTCGTTCATTTTATATAATTTGTTAATTTTTTAAATTTTAATTATATTATTTAATTATTTTAATATTAATATATAATTATTTTTATTAAATTATAACTATTTTTATTAATATATTTTTTAATTACTTACTAATTATATTTTATCTAAATTCTCGTATCTATTATTTAGTATTATCTAGGACGGAGGGAGGAATACGTATGCCCATCAATCCCGTTAATTTTATAAATAAGCCCGTTCTAGTAACTTTTGAACGGTAAGGCCAAATTATTAATTTTTTATAATATTGGTAATTTTTATTTTTCTAGTAACTTTTGAACGGTAAGGCCAAATTATTAATTTTTTTATAATATTGGTAATTTTTATTTTTTATTTTGTGAATCAAAATTAATACTACATTCTAATTATATTAGTTTTATTAGACTACAATTGATTTTTTTTTTCCAAAAAATTATTATAAACCAAACAATTAATGAAAAATAGGGCATGGTCGGTTAGAAGAGCAAGGGCAAGGGCAAAGGCAGGCTAACATCACTGCAAACAGCAAGCGCTCTCGTCATTCATTAGTGACGACAATGGGGTTTCATCTCACAACGTACCTCACCAAAGCGGCACTCGGCCACCCCACGCGCCGCCGCCTCTTCGATTTGTGCAGCCGACAGCCATGCCGACTGTGGCACCACTTCACGCGAACGACCCGAGTTTCTGAGCTGCCGCAACACTTCACCACTGGCTCCGCAATTCTCCGCAGGTATTATTCAGGCCAATTCCCCAATCGTAGGATGGGATTGCTTAGCTGGTATTTGCACATGCTCGAGAAACGCCCAATTTTAACGAAGAGCGTATCGTCGGCAATCATATATGCGGCGGCCGATATCACCTCTCAGGTAATTAGGTTTTTATTTTTATTTTTTTTGATACGTTTTCTGTGATTTGATCGATTTCATAATCCTATATTTGAGCTCGATTTGTTGTTATGTATTGATTTAGTATCAAATGCCAAACCAAATGCTGAAATAACGCCCCGTTTTTGAGTGAATGACGTTTAGTTCTGCTTCGAACTCGCTGAGCGTCTTCCTCCTTGTTTTCCTGCTTCGAATCCCTGAGTAGTGTGAATTAACATGTCTAGAGCTCGATTAAAGCAATCGTGTAGTTTATTGAAAAGAACACATGGCATTATTATTGATTACTTGATTATACTCTGATTTGCTTATTGTTGAAACTTATTAGGAATTAAACCTCCGCTCAAGATTTGTATTGAAATAATTGAGAAAAGAAAATACTAAAGCTAATTACATCCAGCATGATTCCATTAGCGTTGTTGGATTGCAAATTAATTGAGGATTTTGTGTTCTTCGAGCCTATCATGCAACCCTCTTGGAAAAATCTCTAGGGTGCAACCAACTGTCATTTGCTTCCACGATGAGATATTAAAAGTAATAGATGTTGTGACTAGACTTGGGATCACAATCCTAATATATATCCCTTATTATTAATTGGCCTCATCACCCAATTAATAAATTAACAGATTTTGCCCGCACTTACTAAATACATTTAAACTCAATAAATTTAATAGATCACCTATCCTATTGACTACATATCTTTGAAGTTGGGGTAGTTTTTGGAAGTTGATTATATGGTATAGTTACACTATTAAATTTTTGATATGTTATCTTTAAGTTATGTTCTTTTTTAGGAATTATGCTATGAGATGCTTGATGTATGTACATTTAAAACAATTATATGGGTTTTCTACTAAAATGTGTTGATTTCAAATGTCAATATGTTATATTGGTGTGGCATCAGATTTATTGCTGTGCTCGACACTTTTGATTTTGTTGTAATGTTCCATTATATTGGTTTCATTTTTGGGATTGATCAGAAAATTACAATGGAGGCAAATGATTCATGGGATTCAATCAGGACATTTAGGATGGCGGGGTTTGGGCTGCTCATCTTAGGTCCAGCACAGCATGTGTGGTTTAATTTTGTTGCGAGATTGTTACCAAAACGAGACGTTATTACTACCTTCAAGAAACTGGGGATGGGGCAGCTTCTTTACGGACCTATGATTAATGGCGTTTTCTTCTCCTTTAATGCAGCTCTTCAAGGTATTTTACTCTGTTCTGTGTTTCAGTATGAAATATTCCATTTAGCTCCAATTTACCTATCTATGCATTACGAAATTTTGGCTGAAAATAAAATTTGATGTTTGCGACGGATCTTGGACAGGTTTATTGGAGATTCTTACATGTGATTATAATTCAGTTTAACTTTAGTGGCCATATAACAAAAAATTAGAAAAAATACTACGAATTAATTGGAGAAAATTGCAAAATATATCCCACACTTATCCCTCATTACCACTTTTATCCTATATTTATCTTGCTGGCATAACATATCCTACGTATTTGCAAAATTCGCTATTTTTATCCTTTGGCCGCCCGTGGTATGAAAGTCACGCGCAGCAAAGGACAGAAATAACGACTTTTGCAAACATGAAAGTTATATTTTGCCAACGAGATAAATACATGATAAAAATGATAATGGGTATATGTGTAAGATATATTTTGCAATTTTACCAAACTAATTGTAAAGAGCCATTGTGGTGTCTTCTCTTGTGTTCCATTCTTGAACCATGACAAATTGAAATCGATTTCATTTCCTGAATTCCATAAGTTGCAGTGCTCCCTCAAATTGAATCTCTGAATAATCCCTATTAATAAGTAAGTGTGTCTTTGATCTGATTGGAACTTCACAATTTCAGGGGAAAGTGGGAATGAAATAGCTGCTAGATTGAAGCGCGATCTGATTCCGACCCTGCTAAATGGTCTTATGTATTGGCCTATGTGCGACTTCCTCACGTACAAAGTTATCCCGGTTCATCTTCAGGTACACCTTTCAAGATCTAAACATACATTTCTACACTTATCCTGGGTTGGTACACAATCTAGGGTAGTTGAGCATGGGCTGATATACCTTTTTTTTATCATGTTTGCTTTCGACCAGCCATTATTAAACAGCTCATTCTCGTACCTGTGGACAATATATTTGACATACATGGCAAGCTTGGACAAAATTTCTTCGGACTAAATTGCACCTCCTCTCCAGTGGCATTTATTAGTCAGCCGATTATTTATACAACCAGTTGGCTTCAATAACAGGTCACAAATCATTTGTTATTCCACTTATTCATGATTATAATGCTATGAGTTTCTGCGCTCGTTGTTACATTTGTTATTATATGCAAAATAATGTTTTGAAGAACTGTTTATGTTAAAAGGCAGTATTCTTGATAGAAATTAGGATATGGATCCTGAAAATTATCATATGCTGTATCAGAGGATTTTACTATTTGATTCATTATTTATTTATTTAGATTTTGATATACCTTTTCACCCTCATTCAATGTCACTTGTTGATTAATATTAGAGCCGATAATGAGCTATTCATGTAGGTTAAATACATTAAACGGGTTGAATAACTCGACTTGTTTATTATCGTGTCGGCTTCGTGTTGATCCGTGTACATAATTAAATTGAAATGCTTAATTCAAGTTCAATTATTTTTTTTCATATTGTCGTGTCATTGTCGTGTTAGGTTAGTTTAAATTAATATATATACTAATTATTAAATTAGAGTAATTATTTTTACATATATAATAAATATATTAATTAATATTAATATTTTATATTCGGACGGTAGCCTCAATCTTAATTTTAACTTTCGTGCAAGGCGTGCATATATAGATTAATGTATGATATATATACATATTGGGTTGTATATTTAAAAAAAATGAATAAATAAATAAATAATAAAACCCAAAAAAAATAGATACAGGGCTCTTCTTAATAAAATTATTAAATTATGTAGTAATAATAATAATAATTTTTTTTTCTTATTTAAAATAACGGAAAATTTCAAAATATTTAGTAAAATTTATTTGATCTATTATTTATCTTAAAATTTTTAAATTTAAATATTAAATTTATAATTTTTTGTTTCTAAAATTTTATATTATTTTGATTATTTTATTATTTTACTTAATTTTTGGATATATATGTTTCTTATTTAAATTTTACTTTTTAATAAAATAATACTTATTCATAAAAAAAAAATATACTCCATATTTTACCTTTAAACACATTATACATAATATCTTTTCTACTGTTGCTATAACATAGTTATTGCTTTATTTACTTATATATATATATATATATATATATGAAAAAAATATTATATATAATAGAATTAACTGATGATATTTCTTTTGAAGAATTTCATAAATATTGCAGGCAATATTCTATAAAATCATTACTATTTCTTTTATTTACATTTATAAATTTAATAAAATACTACTCAAATAAAGAATAAATTTCGTCCAATTGACTGCTCAATTGTTTTGGGTACGAATTTTAATAGAAGTGTAATAATTTTTATTCTTTGTTCTTTTTATTGAAAAAATTTACAAGAAAAAAAAGTGAACGTAATATTTTGCTTAAAAAATAAAATAAAATAATTTTTTTATGACATATTATTTGATATTATATAATCATTGATGATTCTCTACCGTGAAAAAAAATGAGATAAATACTCTAATTTTGAAGGTCAAAAATAAGGGAAATAAGCTGGTATTAAGAACCTGAGATGGTTATTGTCAGAAATTTTGTATATATATATTTTGATCGGAATAATATTTTAATGACATGAGAACTGCAGCCGGAAGTACTCAAGTGAACCACTGGCTTGGCCTGCCGAACCTAGTCAGTGATTGGAATTGTCGTGCGTTTGTTTGGAGAATGCTCTCCAAAATTTACTATTTATCAATTTTTTTTAAAAAAAAAATATTAAATCAAACATCTCTTTTTTATTTATATATTATATTGAAAATCAATTTTATATTTAACACATTGTATCAACATATTTATACAAGATTATACAACTATTCTAATTCAAATATCTAACTTAAAATTCAAACCACCAAACAAACACACCCTTGGAGAAAACGAAATATACATCGGGTGTATTTGTTTGGGAATTTTTCCCAATTTACACTATTTATCAAAAAAAATTTTTTTAAAAATATCGAATCAAATACCTATTTTTTCATTATTTATATCATAATAAAAATTAATTTTATATTCAAAATATCACATAAACACTTATTTATATTATATCATATTAAGTCTTACCTTTACAAAATTTTACTATTAAAATTTTAACTCAAAATCCAAATTGAAAAAAAAAAAAAAAACACACACACACTGTCCTAAATCATTTGTAAAAATGCAATGGCTCCCTGGACTGGAACCCCCAAGCATCCGGAAGCTTCCGCGTCAAAATCTGAAGCATGCGGAGGAAATTAACGGAGGGTAGATATCAGTAAATCCTAGGTAATAATTATGGTAAATAAACAAAGCCAAAAAAATGGTCACGGAATGCAGAGAGAGTACGATTTTCAATTCCATGTCATATATTTGAAGCGCACAGCCATTCACGTGTCCGTGCCAAAATTTCCGACCAATTACGTCTTCTTCTCGGTATTTATGGAGATTCTTCAGGGTTTTCCTCGGAATGGCGACCGGCCGCCGTCCGATCTCCCCGTCGGTTGAATGATCGGCGACCGTCGGATCGATCGATGTATCAAAATGAAGACGAAGAGATTCTTGAAGAAAATGATGAGTCCCTTGAGGAATGTCTGGGGCAAACTCTGTGAACGGATTGGTCGAGAAATTGGTCAGTTAATTTCCTTTGAATTTTGATTTATATATATATGGAAGGTTGCGGTGCTTTATTTGTAAAATACAAAAACTACATAAGTCTTTATTAAAAACAACGCTTTGCTGTTTGTAATAGTGACATTTGTTGTTTGTTTGTTTATAATTATAGGTGTGTTTGTACAAGTATAAGTATGAAATGTGCAGTGTGAAACTATATCATGGTTGTTAGTTTATATATTCTATTTGTATTATATAAATATAAATGATGTATTGTCACTAATATTACCATGTGTGCGTTGTTTGCTAGCTCTCTCTGTGTGCTACTGGTTCATATGCTGTGTTTGTAATATATTACTGTATATGCTGTTTGGTAGTTATCTTTGTACTGTTTAGGCCAATGTTGAATCTATATAAATATATATATTGAGTATGGATATGGAATGTGCAGGGAAGATAAGACTTAGGAGGGAGGTGAAGAAATGCGAGTACTCGGATGTGCACACGCTATGGGATATGCTGCAGAGGAACGAGAGGGAGCAGCTGCACTGACTCGTCAAAGCAGCTTGGACATATAATCTGAGTGTTTGTTCTTGCTCCTTTTTATTTAATTGAATTGGTGTGTTTGTTTGGGGAATTTTCTCTAAAATTTACTAGTCATCAAATTTTTATCTCCAAAAAGATCAAATAAAATATTTTTTTTTAATTTTTTTTTATATTGTATTAAAAATCAATTTTAATTTAAAAAATTATACCGTATAACAATTCAAATTCAAAATTTTTTCTATTCAAATTCAAACTCAAAATCCAAAGCCCCAAACAAACACACCAAGTTTATGTTTATTCTCAGATTGATTGCTGTGTCACACACACACAACCCTCCATGGAATTGTGTTTTAATTTGTTCTTGTAAGAAACACACACTATGAATGTGGGTTTGCAATGCAATTCCTGATTCCTTTTTACACTTTGCTCACCACACACTCACACATACCTCTAATTATATATACTGCAATGTGTTTATCTTCTGCAAGGCTCTGTTTGGATAGAAGCTTTGAAAGTTTGGAGTTTTGAAATTTTTCGGTGATAATGAAATGTTTGATGTTAAAAAAGGTGTCTTTTGTATGCTCTATTTAAATAGAAGTTTTGAAAGTTTTTGGAGTTTCAAAATTATTTTAGAATAGTACAAGTTGGTATTTAATTTGATGTAATATTTTGTAAGAAAAAAAAAATGTATATTTTGCAAGGCTCATTAAGATAGAAGTTTTGTTGGTTGTAGTTTGAAATTGTTTTGAAATAAGATGTTGATTTGAGTTTTTATTTAAATACTATTTTGATGTAATTTTTTTGAGAAGAAATATTGTATTTTATTGAAAATTATGTATAGTAGCGTTGATTTCAAATTGAAATCACAAGAGAGCAAACCCTTGATTTTTGGAGTTTTGGAAAATTCTAGTAATAGTAAAATTGACATTTGATTCGATATTTTGTGAGAAGAAAAAAATATCTGATGTGATGTTTTCTTGAAAAAGTCATTGTTGATGACTGGTGACAAAAGTTTCAAAAGTCTCTTATGGGTTTGTTTCTTTTGTCATCAAACTCAAGTTTCTGCTATTTGTACTCCGTGTTTTCGGAAATATAACATCATACAATATCAAACTCAAACCAAATTTTTCTCATACCCATCAAAAGAAATATACCTAAGTTTAATGTTAGGCTATTGCCATTGCTTGTGACCTAATCCAATATAATATATGTTTCATTACACACAGTATAGAAAATCATAGGAGTGTGAATTAATTTGGGTTTCGAAAATTTTAAGGTGAAAACATATATTGTCATATTGGGTGTGATATTTTGAATGAAAAATAGATGATGCTCGTGATATATTAATATATATATATATATACATATATTTTTTTAAGGAGAAAAAATGGAAGAACCCACATTTGAATAGTGCATAAGTAGAAACATAAGAAATAAGTAAACAAGAAACATAAGAAATAAGTAAACAAGAAACCAATGTATTTAATAGTCTGATTTTGCATTGTAGATTGTAAATTTCAGTTATGGTGTCCACTTGTCATATGTATTTCTGGTAGCAACAAGAAGTAAAAGAAAAATGAAAACAAAAGAATTTAAATTTGATGTTTCTGAGACATTGAACTGTTTATGCCAAATGAATTTATAACAAATTTATGAGTGTTCTGTCATTTTTGTGTGCAGAAAGAAAATGATGACCCACCCCACTCCACCCCACACCAACACCATTTATTTCACTTGCATTTTTATATTTGCACACACATGCATTGCATTGAATTCCCAATCCCCCCTTTTTAATTTCTGTAGCTGATTAATATATATATATATATATTTGCATTAGCAAAAGGACAACTCAAGAACATTCAATGCAATGCAATGCATTCTGATCTGATTCTGATCTGATCTTCAGTCTTTATGTGCTTCTTCAATTTGCAGCTGCATTATATTGCCTCTTTCAAAATCCACATGGCCTCTCTTCATCACTTCATTTCCTCCATGCATACAAATGTCATCTATTCTGATATAGTTGCCTTTTTAAAAAAATAAAAATAAGTTATATGTATATGTATATATATTATATTATTGTCTTGTTATGTTTGTAGGATTTCTATTTCTAATTGCAGGAGCTAAGGATAAGTTATCAACATCTTGTGACTGATTTCCTCCATTGAAGTTCTGAAATGAAAAGGGTTGGATTATTGTGGTTTTTCATAGCTTTTATGACAATTTGGAGTTCATATTCCATCCAAGTCACTGCTACTTCCTCAAATCCAGGTAAGCTTTTTTTAATCTTTTTTAGGTTTTTATCTTCTTGAAATCTGGTAGTTCTGTTTTTTACCTCTACCCACTGTGCTTAGAATTTCATATCATTTGCCCATATAATGCTTTGGTTTACAAATCTCTATCTATGGGTATGGGGTAGGGGTAGGGGTAGGGGTATATATATCACCACTCATTTCCACATATTATAATTTGATCTTTTTGGGGATGGAACCCTTTCTTTTAGGATAAATTTGTGTTGTAAGATGTTGAGATTCTATGGATTACTTTTATTTTTTAGACAATTTTTTTCCTTGTTTGATGTTTTATTCTATGAAAGGGGATTTGTATTTCATATGCAACTATTTCCTAATAATTTTGAGATTGTTCGTAATTTAGGGTGTGTTTGTTTGGGGGTTTGGATTTTGAGTTGGGATATGGATAGTAAAAGTTTTGAATTTGAATAGTTGTATGATGCAATATAAATAGGTGTTGATGTGATGTTTTGAATGTAAAATTAATTTTTAGTATAATATAAAAATGAAAGATAAATGTTTGATTTGATGTTTTTTGGGGGAGAAAATGAGATGAATAATGTGTTTAAAATCCAATCTCCCAAACAAACACACCCTTAGTGTGTTTAAATCTCAGTAATTGATAGGATTGCTCAAACTCATGCTCAATTATGTACTGAAGATTATATAACAAGCCCCTTGTTCCATTTAGGCTGTGTTTGTTCGATTACTTTGACCCAAATTTTTACTATTCATAAAATTTTAGTCCCAAAGATATCAAATAAAATATTTAATTTTCATTTTTTTTTTAATAATATACTAAAAATCACATCAATTCTTATTTGTATGGTGTGTATAGTTCTTTTGTCCGCAACTTTATGCATACTTTCTATTTAATGTCTGCCAACTCTATGCTTAAATCATAGATAACAATCATTTTCCATCCATTTAACTATTTTCATACTTCAATACATAACAATATTTGTCATTGTCTTTAAATCAATACATATATTATCAATTAAACACCACCCCTAATGAAATTTTCAAAATATTCTTACATAAATATTTATTTTTTCATTAAAATATCAATTGTCTCCATGTCCAACATACTTGTATATGTAGTTAGGTAGAAATACAATATGAGCTAAAAGTGTTTGACTATAATTAGTCAGTATCGTGTTGACAACCCAATATATATATATATATGTCAGTGGTGCATTAGCTATAAATTGAAAGTATAAATTATATATTAATATAATATAAATGCAACAATCGAAAATATGCGACAATAATCTACATATTATATACTACTTCCTCCGTCCTAATCCAAATGAGTCATTTGAGATTTTGTAATAAATTAATAAATAGCAATATTTTATTGGTTAGTTGAAGTTTATAAGAAATTTTGATATTTTAGTTCCTGACTATATATATAAAGTAATTGCACTTTTTCTGAAATAGAAAATTACTACTTTTGAGTGAAACAAAAAAAAATGGTAAAATTAGTACTTTGAGTTGGAAATGTGAGTATAATTTATGACACACAACATATATATATATATATAATAGTATAACATGCGAGATAGTCTGGTGGTATGGGATTGACTCGTGACTGTGGCGAGCTTAGTTTGCAGACTATTAGGTTCGGTCCCCTAAAGCGCTATACACAATATATGTTGTATCGATGTTTAGCATGTGATGTTAAGCTATATTTGATGTTTTGAATAGGGCTAATCGTCGTCAGTATGTTCAACACCCTAACTTGTCCTATATATTAACACATTTCAGATTTGGCGAATTCACTAGGCAGGAAGATCGCTTTGGCCATCTCGGCATCTCAAAGCCGGGAGCTTAAGGTATGTATATATTACATATACACTGAGGGTGTGTTTCTTTAGGGGAGTTTGGAGAAATTTGAGTTTGGGTTTGGTTTTTATTTAAATTTTGGAGTGAGTTTAAATTTGTGTGTTTCTTTTGTTTCAGATTTGAGTTGGATTCGGAGAGTTTTGATATGTATTGATTCGATAGTAATGAATATAATAATATAAATGTGTATTAATTTGATTATAAATTTATATTATACCTATATATATATATTTCTAAATTTTTATTTATTTGTATTATAATTATTATAAACCTTTTTATATAGTCCCTTCAGCCCAATTTTGGGTTATATTGTTTGCACAGGAATCCAACCCAAAACGGTCTATATTTTCTAATTCTTTATGTCGATAACTGCATATTAATTGAATATGCACGCAGGAAAACGGTAAAATCCGATGGAATAAAATGGAGGTTGAAGATTTGAAGTTAGAAGATTACAATGATGTGAATCCAGTTCCGGTTCCGAGCTCCACAGCTTCTATACGGCCCGGCCCGATCCAGCATGGTTCCCCTCAGTTTCCCTACATTCCGGGCCCGCCGCCTCCGTCTTCGCCTTGAACCAATTCATATATATATATATATATATATATTGTTAAGTTGCTAGCTACCTACCTTAGCTTGTAATACCTAACCTGTTTTTGACATGTCTTTAACTTGATTACATTCTATCTTTTGGATTCTGTTTATTTTTATTGTTATTATTACTACTCGTTTCGTATAATTTGTTATTTTTTAAAAAATATAATTAGACATTTTTATTATATTTTAAAATTAATAATTTTTTTTATTTTAATTAAACTATTTAGTTATTTTAATTTTAGTATATTATTATTTATTATATCATAATTATTTTTATTAAAATAATTTTTAATTAATTACTAATTATATAACTTGTAACGAATGAAATATTATTTTTAGTGCTCAATCTTTGGTATCTTCTATTAAAGCATTTTGATAGTCATTGAAACAAGGCTTTACATTGGTCGACTCTATAAATAATACTTCATCCGTGCAGTTAGAAAGTATACACATTTCTATTTTGGGACGTAAATATTTTATTAAATATCTCATATTTTTTCATAAATACTCATACTTTATATATCACATCATTACTTTTAGACCAAAAAGTAAAACAAAAATGTCATTACACTACTTTTAACTATCCATTATAATTAAAATATTATTATTTCTTAAACACCGTACTAAAAGTAATTGTATACATTATGTGTGGAAGGAAGTATGCTTTCATTGGAGAAGCCTCTAAATAAAAATTGACTCTCTTTAAAAGTGGATTAGTGCATATGCATGTAGATGTTTATTTTTTTTGAAATATGGATTTAAAAAAAATAAAAAACCACCTGCATTTAATAAGGAATTTTTTTTATATATTTTTTTTACACATTCATTATTTTTATATTTTTTATACAATTTTTTATATTATATATAAAAAAATTTCATTTTCAATAATCTCACTAAACAAACACGCCCCATGTCTCTTTATTAGAGTTACTCTAACTTGCTCTCCCAAAATAAAAACAGTTTTTGTGTGAAATTGTATATATATAAATATTGATAAATATTATAGTACAAAGTTCAAATATAATACCTTATCAAAATTATTTTTAAAAAATTAAAAAAGAAATTATAGTACAAAAAGTTCAAATAATATACCTTACCAAAATAATTGACTTAATTCATTAATAACATACCATTTAAAAATATATAATTTAATAAGTTAATAATGATAGAATATAAAAACATGTCAATTATTACGGAACAAATGAAATAATATTTAAAAGATAGTCCGCGTATATAAAATATTAAAATTTAAAATTTGTGACAACAAAAATGTAACATCAAATTCATTTGACCAGGAGTATAAAAGTAATTTTAGGAGTGTGCATTATGTCCAAATTTACATATATTTTTTTAATAAAAATAATTTTTTATAAATTATTATTGAATTATTATTTAATTTTAAATTCCAAACCTTAAAACAAAAAATAATAATAATAATAATAATAGAAAAGAACAATCAGACATTGGTCACCCAGATCACTTTAATATCTTATTTTATTTATTTCAAACAAGTAATTTGGGTTAACATCTGGGTCGGATATCTATTCAATATCTTCTATATGGACACGGGTATCATTAACGGGTTTGGTGTAGGAACTTTGGGGCATTTTGGTCATTTCACGAGATCTCTCTCTGAGGCTAAAGTTGTCCCAATAAGATATTTGTACGATGGCAATTCTGTCAACTTCAAAAAAAAATCAATTCACACCTAACACTAGTCACTAGCTAGCTAGCGCCACCACCAGCGGCAGCGAGAACCGGTGGCCGACGGCGGCTCAACTGGTGGCGAACGGACGGATATCCGCTGGGCGCGGCAACCACACCATGGCGCTCTCAAATGTCAATGGCGCAGACGCACGCGTTGCACGGATCTCCTCCACCATTCGTGTTATTCCCGATTTTCCAAAACCTGGTGACGCTCGAGCCTGTGTTAATAATCGGCCTTTATTTCTGTTGATGCTGAATTCTAGAGCGAGCTGATTTGTTTGTAAAATTGTACAGGAATTCTGTTTCAGGATATAACTACGCTGCTGCTCGATCCTGAGGCATTTAAGGATACAATCGATTTGTTCGTTGAGAGATACAAGGACAAAAACATCAACGTTGTTGCAGGTAAATGTTTACTTCTCCGTCTTTTCCTCAACTGGTCGGCAGTGTACTTACCTACTTATGTTTTCTTTTTTTCTTTTTTTTTAATGCTTAATGTTAACATGTTTCGCGGAAATCTTTGATATAGAACTGTCTACTGCTTGGGGTTATAGTTTGTTTGAGTTCTTCAAGAATTTGGATGGTTGCGGACTTAGTTGCATTTAGGCATTAAAGTGGCTTATGGAATGCTTTCTGAGCTTTGTTATGTTGGGGAATTTTTGGATAATCTGCTTTATGTGGATAATCCGGTCTCATAACTCAGAGGAAATGATGTATATGAAAATATGTATAAAGAAGAAAAATCAGAAATAAGGGAATATTAAACTTAATCTGATCTAATTCCAGAGCTTGGCATTTGAAAGGTAAGAATTTGAATTGAAATAGTTGTATGGTATAATATAATAGGACTTGATGTAATGTTTGAATGTAAAATTGATTTTTAGTATAATATAACAAAATTAGTGATGATTTTGTTTTTTTTTTTTTTTGGAAGGAAAATGTTTGTTGAATAGTAGATAACCAAACACAACCTAGATTTGATTTCAAACAGCGATTTTGAGCTGGTGATTTTTCACAAAACTGGTGCAATTCTTCAATGGGATATGATTTTTCAAGAATTGATGCAATTCAAATTTATTATATATTTGTTTTTACCACACAGAAATTAATCTAGGCAGAAAATTTATGCATGTTCACGAGTAGACACAATTCATCCCAATCAGTGAAATTATTCCACTAATAATTCCACTAAAATTATGAAAATGTTAGCTGGTAGAATGTAGAGGAAACTTTGCTTTATGGGCTAAGAAAGAACAAGAAATTATCTGATGCTTCTATGGCCAAATGATGGATTAGTGGATACTGGAAGTAACTCTGTGTCATCTGGGTGGGGGGTATTTGGGTATGTACTTTCATGTTACGTAGAATTGAATCATATTTATTGAAATTTATTTCGATGTAACATAAGTTATTACATCTCTGTGACTATGTGGTCTGTTTTGATCTTATTGTGCTTCTTTGTGTAGGCGTTGAGGCGAGAGGGTTTATTTTTGGTCCTCCAATAGCATTGGCTATAGGGGCAAAATTCGTTCCCATGAGGAAGCCTAAGAAATTACCGGGTATAGTTTTCTCATTCATACGGTATTTACTGAATCTTCCTTGTATGTTCTTTTGTTATAATGGCAATATGATTACAATATAAAAAGAGACCTACTGTTGTTTCATCCAAGTTGCAATGGAAGATGTGAGAAATGGACTTTTTGCATGTATCTTTTAAGACTTTCTGTTGTATTTTGAAAGAATAATGTGTATCCACGGGGGAATATTAATGGGCAAGTCCTTCAATTTACATTAGTGTTAGTTTTCGGCTCCTGGAATTGCCGGTCATTTCTGCATGAGGAATACGAAAAGAGAAGACACTACTTTCTCCCGATAATATTGGAAGTGACTTAGGCTCAAAAACAATATTCTAGATTTAACATGAACGGATGCTTATGATTCTAGATTTAACAACGGATGCTTATGATTCTATGTTGGTTTTACTTTTTCATTCTGTTGTAATGATGATATTCGGTTGCTCTATTTAAGGGTTTGGAAACTTATTTCCTGCTTGAGTTTTGAAGTTAATGCTTGGAACTGCTAACTTATTGAATACTAGCGATAAGTAAATATATTCCAGCATTTTATTGAAATAGGAATCCACTTTATATACACAATAGCACCTTTTGTTATTTTTTATGTTTTCTTGTCTTACATTAAAGATTTATTACGGTGCATTGATAGAACTGTTTTGCATGCTTGTCAGTTGTATTACTGATGTGTGATTGTAGCCGAGCACTTAAAAATCATTATTACACTTTCAGGGGAGGTAATATCTGAAGAGTACACTTTGGAGTACGGAACTGACAAGATGGAGATGCATGTTGGAGCAGTACAACCTGGCGAACATGCAATTGTTGTTGATGATCTCATCGCTACGGGAGGGACCTTAGGTGCTGCGATCCGCCTACTCGGTATGCCTATTTATATCTTTTTTGAAATATGCCATAGAAATTCAATCTTCAGCTAACTTTGGATGCACTTGCTTCGTGAGTATAAACTCATGCCATATAAGTCTAGGCCCAATCCCTACGGAGCTACTCTCTTCATCCGCCAAAATTACATAACTTTGTGTGGGCACAGAGACTAAAAAATAATGATATTTTAATATAAAAGTGAGGTAGGTAAAAAAGTAAAGTGGGGTATTATGATGAACTTGTAAAGTGTTTGTTTGGGTTTCGAACAGTAAAATTTAGGAGAATAGTTGTTTTATGTGATATAAATAGATATTTTGAATGTAAAATTGATTTTAATATAATATAAAAAATAAAAAGTAAGTGTTTGGGGTTGGAAATTTGGAGGAATAGTAGAAAACCTCAAAATTCCTCCAAACAAACACATTGGAAATGTTTTCAATTGAAAGTGAAAGTGTAGAGCTATTTTAGTGGCACAACGGTTATTACTTGTTGAAGTAGAGGTAATATATATTGTAGATGGATAAATTTTTTTTACTATAAAGGGGTGATACATGAGTTTAGGGAACAACCAATAAAAAACAGAAGGAAAACAGGCATAATTTGGACTTCTCCTTTACGCAACACAACCATTTGATATGAAATGGATAAAATCTTGTGGGTTTTGTATCCATGGATGCCATACGTGACTATGTAAGTATATGAACTTTCTGAGTTAATATTTTTGCTTAAAAAGGGATATATGACTGGTGCTCATATATTGTTCTGATTATTGTTTGTAATTTGTACACTGTTGCTTGTTTTTTGATCGACCGCATGCCTCAGGCAGCATTGTGTTTCAGTGAGATAATATTAACAAAACGAATAGTTGAGCAAATTTTACCATGTGTGGAAATCATTATCTATTCTGGATTTTTGCTGCAGAACGCGCTGGAGCCAATGTGGTCGAATGTGCTTGCGTCATTGAATTGGCTGACCTGAAGGTACGAAACAGTTGTCTTTATAACCAACTTCCATTTTTATGTTTGCTAATGGTTAAAATGAGGTGTTCTGAATTCTCTAATCTTCGTATATTTTATCTCTTGAAACATCATATATCGTACAACTTCTACATTTTTACTAGTTTCAGACCATGACTGCTATTACTGCTTTATTCGAAATGTAGGATGGAGTATATCAACCATAATTTATAACGACTTAAGGATAATTATCGTGCCGATTATCGTCCAGTTATGTATTTGCTGTCTTGATCCCTACCTCGAATATTTTCATCTAGATAGCAAATTATTTGGGAAACAAGAAGTGTGAAAAGTCTAGATCTATATTATAGCATTCTTTACCAAATACCGATCACAATAAGAAAAGAGGTACGAGGAGATCGACGAATGTTAAAATGGTGCTTAAATAATTGATACTCTCTCCGTCCATTTTGTAGGTATAAGTGAGTAAGAGTTTGTGGACTAAAATGCTCTTGAAAGTACAGTTGATAGATTTAAAAATAAGATAGTGATACGTTTGGAAATTTAGGTGAAATGTAAGTGTATTTCACTATTTGTGTGAGGACTATACTACTAAATAAAAATTGATTGTGGATATTCTAAAATAATAAAATGAATACATTAAAACTATAGATAGAGCGAAGTAACATTCAAAGCAAAAAGGACACTTATTATAATAGTGCGTTTGGTATAAAGAATGAAATTGAAGAGAAATGACAATGGAAAGAAAATTGCAGAATAAATAAAATTTGATAGAAAATGCGAATTGATTCTTTTGTACGGTAAAATGTAATACAATTTGTATAACGATCTGTAGGAGATATGTATTACAATTTAGAGATGTGAAAAAAGAGAGGGTGACTTGACTAGGAAGAGAGAAAGAATTAACTAAAAAAGATTTAAATGGTGTGAAAATCTTTAGAGAACATAGTTGATGTGTTTAGTTGGTGATATTTTATTATTATTTTTAATTTTGGTTTTGGTTTGAACAATAATTTGGATTTGATGTTCTTCGAAAGAAAGTATTATATTTTTATATATAATTTGTAGAAAAAAAGAATTTGTCTGATAAACACACTCAAGATTTCTTATTTTTCATTTTCCTCAAATTTTCTGGTAGTGAAATAAAAACAGAGAAATCATTTATTTCTCAAATTCAAATATCTAGTTTAATCTCTCATTTAAGTGCATGGATAAGCTGTTGATCAGCATATGCTATGAAATGACCAACATATATTTATACATGTCTCAATATATTTATAATACAACATATATATTATATTATAATTAAACATATGCTGAGATATCTATAAAACATACGTTGGTCATCATATAACATATATATTGATCTGGTCAAATCAATATCATTCTGACTTGGTTGGATCAGCACAGGATCTGTAGCTCTCATCATTTCAGTTAACTTTTGACGCTTCTTTACTCAATGACTAATTGAAAAGTTGATGGCGCGCCGGATTTGATTCATCGCATTCATAATGTTATTCATGGAATTTTTTCTTAATATTACTTTTTTTACGACACACGTGTTTTAGACAATTCACTCATCATCGATAATGCAATATTTTGTGCTAATGGTTTGCGCCGGCTAACTTCTTTCGCGTCATTCCAGGGCCGCGACAGATTGGAAGACAAATCACTCTTTGTTCTTGTCACCTCTACTTGAGGGGAATGGATATTATCTCGATTCTTGACAGAAACTGCTATTTCATCCGGATGGCTAATCGATAAGTTGTTTGTTTTAAGCTGCTTTTTTATTCTCTCTTTCCCGGAATATATAAGCTCAAATTGATATCTGCATTTCGTCTACATGAACATTTCTTGTGGATGGACAATGTCCAAACCTATTTTAAATCGAAACCAAACCGATTCGAATGTCTGAACTGTCTCTCCCCTAAACCAAAGTTTATGCTTTTGTTTAGGTAGAGATTGACTTCCCTTTTCTTCAATCTCGTGCTTGATTTCAATTGGTTATGTCTCTCTTACTTTTGTGGTTGACCTTTGCCTTATTTTTTTAAGTTTTTGACTTTTTGTTAGAAGTCAAGAAGGGAATTGATAGATGCAGATTTTGAAAGAGTCTATGGCTTTCTTTACTTTGTGATTTTTGTTTATGTGTTTTGGGTTTAAATAGTGATTGCTTGTTGTTTTGGAAAAGTAAAGTTTCTTTCTACGAAATAAATAAATAAATAAAAACTCAAATTAATATACTCATGTCTTACTGTTGGAAGAACTTAGCAATCTTTAGGATGTATATATATATATATATATTTTCCCTCATATCCAAAACAATAGGAACATTTGGAATGAACACGACGATAATAGTATTATATTGATAGTTAGTTTTGTAAAAATATTGGGGTTGGTTACTAAAAATAGAAATGATACTATTGTAACAAAAATCGTAAAATGAGACTATTATTTTTGGATGAGAGTATATATATTTTTTATTCACTTAAATTTATGTCTATTTTTTTATATAAAAAATACTAGTATTATTTTTACTCATTTTTTTTTTAAGTTCGTATCTAATCAAACGGGCATAAGTTTTGACGACGGAGGTGCTATTATTATAGTGTTTGTGTGTGTTTGTTTGGGGGATTTAATAAGATTTCTACTATTCATCCAATTTTTTTCCCCCAAAAACATCAAATCAAACACCTATTTTTCATTTTTTATATTATACTAAAAATCAATTTTATATTCAAAACATCACATCAACACCTATTTATATCACATCATACAACTATTCAAATTCAAAATTTTTACTATTCAAATCCCAACTCAAAATTCAAACCCCCAAACAAACACACCCTAAGTGTATTTAGTTTGAAATAATTGTGTATTGATGATAGTGAATAAAACATATACTCCCTCCGTCCCAAATACTGCAACATTTCCTTCTTTTTGTATGTCCAAACACCCATGCAATATTTTCAAAATAGGAAATAATTAATTATATTTAATCTCTTGTTCCACACTTTATCTCCTTACATTATCCAAATAAAAAAATAAAATATATATTTATCTGCATCACCTAATTTCTAAATTATCCTACTTAATATTACCTAGCATCACCTAACTTCTAAATTATCCTACTTAATATTACCCAGCATCACCTAATTTCTAAATTATCCTACTTAATATTACCCACCTAAAATTTCGTGTCAAAAGTAAATGTCGCACCTTGTTTGGGACAAATGGAGTATTATATATTGTGTATATATATACTGCATTTTCAGTAATATTATTCGCATTTGTATTATATTAGCGCTATTGATTTATTCTGAATTTGTTCAGCATCCTGATAGAGTAAAATAGGTAAAAAAAATGCATAATTTCATTTTTCTTATTTATTTATTTATTATTATTATTATTATTTGGTTAAATTATTTGGCCTAGTAAATTTTAATTATTCGAGATATTAGTCATTGTTACAGGATTAAATACCGACAATATAAAATAATAAAATATAGCAATATTAATAAATATTGAAATTTTAATTAAGTAATTTGCTTAGAATATTGATGTTAATTGCATGTTTGAAATACTTCTTATGAGTGAGCTATTGTCATTATCGCAACTCTAATATCGATTTAGAAAAAATAATTTGAAGTAGGCTTTTGACCTTTTGAGTAAATTATTTAATTAATTAATGGTTTACGTAAGTCAGCGACTATAAATTAATTTTTTAATTTTTTTACCTTCCCCAGCCATATATATATTTGTATATTATATTTGCCATTAATTAGTCACGTACTATTATTAGTTGACTTAACTATATATATATATATATATAATTTAGTTGTCGACATATACTACGAAGAGTAAAATAATTATATAATGTTTAATAACGTTGTGTGGTTATTGATTAAAATACCATTTATTATCCAATTATTCAACTATTATAAACTATTTTTTATATAATATATATATATATATGTATATTTTAATGTTTTTATTGGCTTACCTAAACGTAGTGTTCATAACAAATATTTCCTCCGTCCACAAACTAATGTTCTACTTTTCTATTTGGGACGTTTAACAACTATTCTCTTGTTTTTTTTTCTTAAACACAAATTTTATATTTTTATCCTTCATTCATTTATTACTTTTAATCTCTATCATACAATTAAGAGCAAATTTGTAAATTCATAACAAAAAGATAATCACCTAAAAAATCGTGCAAATATACTATAGGACAATAGAAATTGGAGACGAAGGGAGTAATAATTAAAAAAAAAACACTGTTTAGTTCATACATTAAAATATATTGAATGTAGAGAATAAATTAAACTGAGAGAAAGGAGATGATTTGTTCTTTTGGTAATTTTTTATAAAAACTTTATTATTGAATTTTTATGATTTATTGTAAAAATATACTTCATCCATCTTTTATACTGGTTTCTTTTTATAGTACTATTATTTACTTTTATAAATCATTATATTTTGTTGGTGTACGATTCTCGAAAATCATAATGTAAGAAGTTAACTTTTTCGAGTTTTTTTTACAGCGGAGCTATGAAACTTTAGTATGTAAACACAATTTTTAATATGTGCTTGACCATATTGTGGTTATAACATTTGTGTGTATAAGTGAACACAAGTCGATGGCTGGCCAAATAAGAACATAAATGAACACACTATGTTTGTTATCTAATTCAGTGTTAAAATTTATATTTAAGACATCAATTCACGAATCAAATCACTAAAATTTAGCACAAGATTTACAACTATCCTCTCTTCTTGCTCTCTTTGTTTCGCCAAACATAGAAAAATGTACGTTGCATTGCAGTAATAACTCCAACATACTGATTATCTAGCCGGGAGTAAATTTTCTTACAAGTTGGTCTATCTTCTAAGATTTGGCGTTCTTTTTCTCCACTTTCTAACCAGTTTCACAATTCCACGGAAGCTTTTAGTGTTGGGATGCAAACCCAAGTCCCACATCAAAAGTGGTGAAGAAAATTGCATACAAGTCCCAAGTGAGGTACGAGGTCTTTTGGAGAATATCCAAAAATAAATCCTTGCGGACTCAGCCAAAAGCGAACAATATCGTACTAGTGTTGAGTTGACCCAGTCCCAACATTCAGTATCTTCTCCGAGATTAGAAGAGGTTGTGGAAATCAAGTCGAGAAAATCAATTCAAACTTGCAATATGTCGATGGTGTGTCCCGTCAAAGCCAGTCTAGTTTTTGTCTAATTTTAGGACAATGAAATCGAAGGCAATAAATGTGCATCAAACATTTTGAAGCATATTTTGATTTCTCCTGAAATTAGGCTTCATGGATTTGTCCTTAAAAGGTTAATTCAAATCGATTTTGAGCCAAGCAAAATAGTTTTATAGGAAATTGTCTTTCTCTGTGTATTATTACAATCTTGATGTTGATGTTAGAGACCGACAATACTGCAAAAAAAAAAAAAAAAAAAAAAAAAAAAAAGATAGCATTCAAACAAACTATTTTGTTTAGATAAAAATTTTGTAACAAATGGTATTTGTGAAAATATGGATAAATGAGTAATCAGAATATGAATTATTTTATTTAATAATCCCATATTTTCTATTCAAATGGTTACTATTTTCAAATAAATCGGAAGCACTTCCAAAATATATTTAAATGCATTTAATTTATTTGATGTACGTAAAAAAAAAATAAAATTACACTTTTAATTATATTTTAAATTTCATAATCTATCATTGTTTTAATATAAATTAAAATAATTAGTCACTTTTAGGGTGAGTTTGGTACAGAGAATTAGCAGCAGAAAAATTAAAATGTTTCCATTTCTCTGGTTTGTTTGAGTTAAATAAATGGAAGTTGAGAAATAAAACATTTTTATTTCTCTATTTTGATTTCTCTTCTATATTCAGAGAAATTGAGATAAATGATGTTCGAGTATATATATTTTTATTTTTTTTTGTACTATTTAATTTTTATAATTATTTATATTATATTATTTTAGTTTTACAAAAATTGTTTTTAATTTATCATTCAAGTATTTAATTTTTTACAAAAATTTATACTAAAATATAATCTTACAAAACTTCGTATATAATTTATAATTTTTTATTTTAAAAAAAAGTCACCATAAATATTTTTCCATGATTCTCACTCGCTAAAACTCTCTTTTGTTAGATTAACCATTTATTCTTGTCCGATCCATTTATTTTTTTTTTACATTTCTCAACTGAATTCTCAATTCTACCAAATAAGAGAATTAATTCTCATTCTCTACTCAATTCTCTTTTTCTCTAATTCTATTATCTGTTCTCATTTCTCTGCAATTTCATTATCGGTACTTTAAAATCTCATATATACAGTATACAAGACATATTAAGTGGGATGGAGAGAACATAAATAACTTACCTATATAATTAGGGTCTTATTATTTATTTATTTATTTATTTGCCCATAATAGAATAGAAAGGGCATTGACTTACAGTGTATGTAATTAGTTTCTATAGTTGGCTAAGTTAGACTTCCATCAACTTATTTAAACATAGATAATCCTATCTCTACACCACCAACTAATTAATTCCTAAATTATTTATTATTTATTATTAATTATATATATATATATAATTGGCATAATTAGCTGCTAAACATTCTTTAGTTGGTTGTCACAAAGATAATAAAATTTAAAATCTTTTATGCAAATTATTTATATCTATACATAAATTAATATTTTTATTTTGGTCAGTAAGTCTTAAGACCGACCCTTAATAATATATATATTATCTTCAACCATTATTCGTGTATTTCATTTATTTTATTTTATTTTATATATAAATTAAGAAATATTAATATTGTAGACAATAATATATATGCAATAATGTATTAACTAAAATTTTATAAATTGTAATAAGATAATGACTGGTAT